GAATTCGGTGAATTTTGCTACGAAATTTTCAAAATTGATTCGTGATTTTTCATGGATTTGGCTAGAGAAGTTGTTCTTCGTGATTTTTCATGGATTTGTTGCTTGATCTGCCTACATGCAGTATTCGTTTTCGTTTCTGGGTCATAGCACATGGATCGTTTCATGAATCTTTCACCAATTTTTCATAGAAATTTGCAGTCTTTTACCTTTGGTTAGTGATAATTTTCTGATTTAGAGACCCTTCAATCTTTTTTGAGTGCGTGTCTCTGTTTTTTGCAGTCATTGATCTGTTCTTACAATTCTTGTTAAGGTTTACAAAAATCTTATAAAAACACAATTTTATCATGTTTTCAGAATCCGTGTAACAGTCTATGATCATCACTGTTTTACAAGTCTTTTCATTGATCTGTTTCCAGAATCTGTGTAACAGTCTAGGATCGTCACTGTTTTCAGAATTCGTGTAACAGACTAGGATCATCATCACTGTTTACATACTTAACAATGGATGGAATGTTGCGTGGGAATGTTTCTGGCAATGAGAGGGATGTTTCGTCTGTCTTGAGTAATCTCCATGATAATGAGGTTATCCCTTGGTATTTTTCAAGAGAGGAGGTTGAAAAAAACTCACCATCAAGGCGAGATGGTATCGACTTAAAGAAGGAAATTCGCTTACGCAAGTCGTACTGTACATTTTTGAAAGAACTTGGAGTGAAATTGAAAGTGTAAGTTGCCTTTTCTTACTTGCATATGTCCTGCATGTACATCTATCCTAGCTTAGTTTCTAAGTTGGTATTTCGTAGATTCACAATCGTTAATTACGAACATGTGTCCTTTTGTCCATAGGCTTTGGTCTGATAGCAATTCTATGGTTTGATTTGTTGCAGTAAATTAGGGGGGATTGATAGTCTAAGTAGTTTGTTTTAGCATTGATTTAATACATATACTAACAATAACAAAAAAAAGAGAGAATATATAGTTCCATTTGAATCTAAGAAGCGTTCGTTTGTTTGGTTCCTTCGATGAATGTGGCTGATATTAATCTCTTGATGCAGTCCCCAGATAATGATAGCCAGTGCTATAGTATTCTGTCACCGATTCTTCCTTCGTCAATCACATGCAAAGAATGACAGATGGGTGAGTTTAGTTGGATGTGAACGAAATGATTGCTTAAGAAATATACGGTCTTTAGTGAAACTGTGAGTCTATTAGCCTATTAGGTGTCCAGTAAACATCCCTGCTCATCGAGGTTTCTCTATATATTGTTCTCCATCTCTGTGTCATTTTTTTTTGTTAGTTCTAGACAAAGTGTAATTGTTGATTGATCTATGAGTTACCTGATTTTCTTCAAAGAAAAACCATCGGTGATAGAGATCAAGCTCTCTGTTTTGTCGGTTCTGGATAGAAGTGCATGGTTAATGAATTTGTGGCTGATTTGCAATGATTTATTCTTCTAGAGCAGAAAGAACAACTAGATTAGTACTTATGCGCTTCCTGTTACAATGTCTCTCTAGACAATTGCAACAGCCTGCATGTTCCTTGCTGGGAAGGTTGAGGAAACTCCACGGGCTTTAAAAGACGTTATTATTGTCTCCTATGAGATGATTCACAAGAAGAATCTTGCTCCTGCCCAGAGAAAGGTTTTCTTCTATATACTACTGATCTAACCATCCTTGTCCATTTCCACTTTGCCTTTTACTATAATAGGTTTTGTGGATAGATTTGTTTGTCCTTTCATTTGCATATAAATGTTATTTCACTTTTGCAGGAAGTATATGAGCAACAGAAAGAGATTTTATTAAGCGGAGAGGAGCTTGTTCTTTCTACATTAAACTTTGATCTCAGTGTTGGTCACCCTTATAAGCCTCTTATAGAAGCAATTAAGAAATATAGGGTTGAAGAGGCTAAGGCCCAATTTCCTCAAGTTGCTTGGAGTTTTGTCAACGATTGGTACGCTTGATATGGTCCTTGGACATTTTTTTGAATTCTGATGATTCTATATAGGCCTTGTGTTTTTTCGGTTTTCATACAATCACACATCATTTGCAGTCTCTGGACGACACTCTGCCTGCAATATAAGCCTCGTCACATAGCAGCAGGTGCTTTTTTCCTTGCTGCTGAGCACCTAACGGTGGACTTAAAATCATACGGAGAGAGCTTGTGTCAAGAGTTTGATATCACACCTCGTCAATTAGAGGGTATGTGTAATCTTTTTTCTTTTAAACTTATGACTTTGATGTCTCTGGACTTTGTCGCTTCGGTTTATTTATTATTTATCGTTTTCAGATGTCCGTGGCCAAATGCTTGAGCTTTATGAGAAAAAGCATATTCCTGCATCTCAAGGAAGCATAATCGAAAGTAGTGTCCCCGTGCATCAACCTGTCTCAGGAGATATTGCTTCCACAGATAAATGTTCAACCCACAAGCATTCAAATTCTGATCATCATGGGGGCTCGTCAAAACCCACACAAAACCAGAGTGACAATGGGAGTGGTGAGGCAGGTAGTGTCATTACCGAGCAGAAGTGTGAGCTAGAGAGAGGAACAAAAGATAACCCACATACTGAAAATCATCCAGCTCATAAGTCTAGACCGGGAGTAGGGACATGGGAAGGACAAAACAGAGAGGACAACTCCAGCAGATATTCGAGATGATAGCGCCGCTCCTGATAAATCTAGAAATGTTAGTACAGGTGATGCCCCGGTCAGTCAATCGCCAAATGACTTGAAATTGCTTCGAGATAAGGTGAAGGCTAAACTAGAGGCTAAGAAGTTCCAAGGTGAAAGGATGTGGAAAAAGGATTTGATAGATGAGGATGATTTGATCGAAAAAGAACTGGAAGACGTGGAACTACCTGTTGTGGATGACAAATATAAAGGAAAGGAGATCTTAAAAATCAATCAGATGGGTACAGAACACGGCGAAATTCTAGATGGAAACCACTTGGCAGCTGATATCAAAGGCGAAGCTGGCCATACCGAGGAAGATGAAATGGCGGATGATGATTCTTCAACAATACCTAGCCGTAATAGAAAAATGGAAAGCCATTCTGAAGAAAACAGATAGGAGGAGGAAAGAAAAGGCACAACAACAGTGAGAATGTTGAAGAAAGTCGCAAGACAAGCCGAGGAGGAAGTAGTAATAGTTATAAACAAGCAAAGAAGACAGCCCCCAGAGGATAATAACTCGGGAGAGAGGTAAATGATCTTTTTGTTTTTACCTTGTTATGGTCTATAAAGAGCATGGTGAGTCGGTTAAATCACTGGCCTGCTAGAGCTCAGTGTACTTGTGATGTTGGGTACAATAACTAATTCTTTGGCACTTTTTTAGATATATGATAGTTATTTGAAAGTCTATATCCAAAATTCCATAATTTCTTTCTGAAATTGAATTTGTTCTTAAAAATACACAAATCAGTAAACCCTCTTTATAAATCAGTTACTTGTATTGTTTGGTTGATAAATTAATGATTTTTAAGATCAGAAAATTTATTAATATTTTGAGATATTAAAAAGTTATAGATAGATCTATTAAAAAGGAAAACTGTATTTCTATTAAAAACTGGAAAAGCTTCTGAAGTTTAACTATAAAAAAGGAAAATAATATATCAATCTCATGACCAAACAAAATATATTAATCTCTTGAGAATTTTCTACTCGTATTGACATTGTCGCAGATTTTGCTTTCGAATTGTGGAAGATTATTGTTCATCGAGTTTAGTTTTTTGTTCTCAGCAAACCCTAACTAGATTCGTCCGTATAAAGACAACTTGCTCCTCTGTTTCTTATATATATAGGTGACTAAAAATCGTTTTTTCCAGAGAAGAAGATATTGGAAAACATGGAATGTAATAAAGACGAAGCTAGAAGAGCAATGGATGTTGCTGAGAAGAAACTTTCAAAGAATGATTACGCCGGAGCGAAGAAATTCGTTAACAAGGCTCAGAATTTGTATCCAAAGCTCGAGGGTTTGAAACAAGTTTTGATGATGATCGATGTTTATATCTCTGCATCAAAGAATGGGAAAGGAGAAGCTGATTGGTATGGTATTCTCGGTGTTGATCCTTTAGCCGATGATGAAACAGTACAAGAAGTTAGCTCTTTTGCTTCATCCGGACAAGAACAAGTTTCATGGCGCAGAAGAAACGTTTAAGCTGGTTTCAGAAGCTTGGTGTCTGTTATCTGACAAGGCTATGAGAATTGCTTATGATCAAAAGAGGAAATCGAAGACCGGGATGCAGAAACCACCAAGCCCACATAAACCAGCTTCTACTAATGCGGAAGACGGTGTTGATCCGAGTGCTAAAGCTACAAGTAATAACCCTAAGCCACCTCCAGGAGGTTGGAATCAGAAGAATGTCGGTATGTTTTGGACAATGTGCAATAAATGCGAAACACGATGTGCACTCATAAGGGATTGTCGTCTTAACAAGGTCATACTTTGTCCAAATTGTGGTCAGTCTTTCATTGCAACCGAGAAAACTCAATGTTCAAGTTTTGTGAGGCCAGTCCCTAACTCTCCTCAACAACAACAAAGGAGTGCCCAAACTAAAGCAAGAAACAAAAATAAAAAAGGTGCTTCTGGTTCTTGGACAAGCGTTTCACCATCTACTAGTAAAACTCAGAAAACTCCACAAGAAGGTGCCAAAAGTCAAGCAACAAACGACAACAGTAATGAAGCTTCTTCTTCTTCACCATCTGCAAATGCGACCGGGGAAACTCCACAGGGAAGTTTTGCGACTCCAGTCATCAATGTCTCATCACCTACACAACCAGAAGAACAACGGAGTACCCAAAATCAATCACCAAGTCAAAACACAAGTGGTGGTACTCATTCAAAGACGACATCAACTGTTCGTTTTAGCTTTAGTTCTCGCTGTCATTGTTCGATATCTGTAAGAACCAGTTCTAACGGCGGAAATACCACAAATCAAGAACAAGACAGATCGAAAAGAGCATTTGAGGAGTCGAAAGAAACGACGATTCTTAAGAAGCAGAGGACAGATGTGAAATAAAAAAAAGTAAGACTTGTCTCATTTAGAGTTTGAAGAGCCCTCCTTTTCT